TCCCATTTATCTCTTTCCTTGCGTCTCTTATTTCCCTTCCATTCGACTCTCAGGTGAGAGTTTTCCAGAGAGCGCGCTGCGATAGTATATGATAGCGAAGTCACGAATAGTCATAATGAGAGTATTTTCCCGCAGTGGTCGGCTCGGTTCACTCTCACTCCGCCAAGACTCTTCTGTACGTTTCTCTCTCTCTCTCTTTCTCTCTCTTTTTCGGCCCCGTTTCCGTTTCTGTTGCTAGAATATCCGTGAGGACAGTTGTACATAAGTGTCGAGCTATCTCCTACCGGTGTCCTTACCATTGTTGCCCTGATTTGAACCGATACTTCTTCCGCCAACACTCCGACAGCACCAGCTTCTGTTCTGCCTGCGCCGTCCCGTCCCGCTCCTCCTCACCTCCTATCACCCGCACGTACCGTTCCTTATATCCCCTAACACACACACAACGAAGTCCGTACCCAAAGTTGTGTTCGGAGAATCGGAAGACTTCTGTTATCGCATCAAACACTGTCGGTCCCATTGATTCGTTTGCGATGTACGCTTTTGTGTAAAAATATTTACAAAGTAAACATTTTACTTTTTCTAATTTTCACTTCTGAAGAAGATGCAAATTCAATACAAATATTGTTATTAATTGTATCTAAGATGTAAATGTCAGTTATATGTGTCAAATCGGAAAAACAACTATGTCTCATCAAATCGCGTAAAGTCCAAAAAATCCTTTTTTTTTGCCTTTACGCCATGGTTACTGATTCACTATGCCACTGTCAAAACAACTTCAAGAAACAGTTATGAATTGCAGAACTCATTATTTGGTAAGGTAACTGCTTGTTGTGCTAGTTGTCTTAGAATGATTTGCATATATTATAGAGGATAAGATTGAGTCAGTGAAACAAGTGGAGTCAAAGATGCTTTTGGATTACATTTCCCCCTCCAACAAGTTAAATTTGCCAGAGGTTGCACATAATACCTCATTGGATTTGATAAGGATTTACATAATACTCAAAGTACAGAGCGAACAAAAATACGCAAAAACTGCTCTTCGAAAATGTTCAGATAAAATGCTGTAGTTATATTACTCTCTAGAAAAAGCATCAACTTTTTTTTTACTTCTGTGAAGATCATTTGAGGGGTTGAACACACTAAACTTGAAAGCTGACTACATTTAG